TACAAGATAACACAATATTATAAAATTGTAAAATACTGTAACATCGTAAAATAATATTGTAAAATTACACAAGTAAAACTGTAAAATAGTATTACAAAATTGTAAGTAAGACTGTCAAATAAACTTGTGAAATGATAAATAACAATGAAGAATAATATTATAAAACAGTGTTGTGAAATGACATCATAAAATTGCAAAAGTTCAACTAAAAGATGCAAAACCCTTACAGTTTCCACAGCATAAATAAAGACATAAACGAAAGTTTGCTTCGTAAATTAGCTCGCAAAGTTTCCTTCGGTGTGGTCGAGCTATGAATCGAGCGATCAAGTTTATCGCATACGAAACGACGCATCGCATTAACTAACTTACGACGGCGTTTGCATGTTTATCAGCCGCGAACTTACCAAAAAGAAACAGCCCCTCGAATGTTGATGTGCGGCACGTATCTCATCGAGAAACTGTTCGGCTAGAAACGGATTTCGATCGGGATTCACGTTCGTTGCATAATGCATGTCCACTAATAACACCTGCGTAATGTTTCATTTGTTAAAAGCTTGGGACGAAATGTGCATGGAACAATACATTAAACATTAAATTCAACATCGTGCAATCGGCTCGATCTCATCGCCGATGCGTTCGCGCGAGCATTTCTCGCCCGACAAATAAGCAAACGCGGGCGGAATAAAAATCGCCAAGCGAAAATTATAATCCGACTGCGTACAATTAACTCGAACAATTTGAATGGCTATTATGTTGTTGTTCTCCTACCTCGATACCCATGTCGTCATACATCGATTGCAGTTCCGGCCCGACGAGTTCCAAAAACTGTTTCCTTTCCGAGACGAACTCTGCGAATATTTTTGCAAACATTATCATTTCACATCGATTCGATTTCAACGGTGAAATTTAACGTCGCATGCTCCGCATACTTTTTCATCGCAGTTCGTTCATACCGTGCCCCGGGTTCAAGTTTCCCAACGTAATTCCAACGAACTCTGAATTTTTTAATGTTCCCGCGCTATCGGCTATGTAAAAACAAAGAGTTTAATTAGCAATTTGAAGTCTGCTCGTCAAAAATTCTGCAGGTCAAATATCCACAGTTTCCCTAAAAACGACAGTTCCGTCCCTTCAATTTCGCTTGCGAAAAATGCCAAGATCATTTTCCAAAATCATTTTCTATCCTAAATAAAATAGAAACTTAAAATAAATATTTATTAAAAATGTTCGACGATAATTACAAATAAATAGTTATCAAAATCGTCCTAAAAATCTGTTAACAAAAAATTTATGAAATCATTCGGTTTCAATCTTCGTTCAGTCTTAAGTTTCAGCGTTGAATTAGGTTGATTAAAAATCGAATAAAGTTTGTTTAAACGAAAGCAGGAAAAGAGAAATTAACCGAAATGGTTCGCGAAGGGTGGAGGAGGCCTTAAAAATGCGCAATTCCCTAGCGCGTATTCTTCGTATGACGGGCAGATCGCATAAAAATTTAACGCTCTTATTAAAGTCGACGTTTCCTGTGAATCATGCTCCAAGAAAGCACCTCTCGAGGACGCATTTATTGGAACTGTATGTTACGTGGAATTGAATTTCCCGCCGCCGGGAAGATGAAATTGAAGTAAACGAATACACGGAACGCCGTCGCGTTTGTGATTCTACAAATATTAACCGTCGGACGGAAAATGAGAAAATTATTAAGTCCATTCGAATGACAGAAATGCATTTGAACACATTTCTCAAAACGTGTCATACGTAATCTTTACACAGAGTGTTCCATAATTACGTTAACACACGGAAAGGGGTGATTCCTGAGGTGATTTGAAGCAACTTTTTCCTTTGCGAAAATGCAATCCGCAGCTTCGTTTAAGAGTTATTAAAGAAAAACAGCGGCCAATGAGAGGCGAGCTTGGCTGGCGCGAGGCGGCCGAGGCCCAATTCCGCTGATTGGCTCGGCTGCCTAGTGCCAGGTGAGCTCGTCTCTCATTGGCCACTGTTTTTCGTTAATAACTCTTAAACGAAGCTGCGGGTTGCATTTTCGCAAAGGAAAAAGTTGCTCCAAATCACCTCAGGAATCACCCCATTCCATCCCTCTTTCCCTTTAACATAATTGTGGGATATCCTGTATAATGTAATGAATATAAACATTATACAGTCCAGTAATTTACAATTTTAATATAGGAATAAACATAAGTCATATGCAATAATTGATCGATGATGATTAGACAGGTGGAATAATGAATAAACGATCAGAAGCCTTCTTAAACAATCAACAGATTAGTTTATTAAACGACTGACAACTGTTTCGTTCATCGAACAAACAAGTGTTCGTTACTTTTCCCTATTAACTTTATTGTCTTTGGTAACTCCGCTTCGTCTTTGTTAATTAATTCAATTTATTATCGCATGCCTATTTAAACAGTTTTCCTCGTTTAACGGTCGTGAATGGTCGTTGAACTATTCTCATAGTTTCAAAAATGAACGGACGACAGTTTTTAACAATATCTCAACAACTAATTATCTACAATTTTGAAAACTGAAAAATTTGTACTTCTCGAGGTTTCATAGAGCAATTCTTTTTTAATAAATATTTAACGTTTCGGATGCTCAAATGAAATAAAGAGTAATTAATCTCAATTGAATGGCACCGACAAATGTTTCTGAATTTTTAGAAAAACTTACGCAAACTATTAACGAATTAATGATCTGTATAAACCGACGGTTATTAATTGCCACTGAAAGTAATCAAAGCTACAAAATTATGTTCGACATCTGTTTAAAAACTTCTACTATTAAACCAGGAAAACCTTTTCAATACAAACATATCTAGAACCATGCTATTTCACACATACACTCCGACAAATAGTCCAAGCAATAGCAAAAACCGACGTCTAGAGACACATACGAAAAAAGAATCGACGAGCACATGGCTACGCAGGCACGTGAAGATATAAACAAACAATCATTTACAATTCCATGGTGCACGAACAGTGTATTAATTAATCATGTAAAAGATAGAAAGAGAGAGAGAAAGAGAGAGAAAGAGAGAGAGAGCGGTTGAAATAGATTAAAAAATTATTTTTCTCATCTTCTGTGGAGAGGAAAACTCACAATTTTAAAACAAATTGTGTTTCAATGACTGCTATGATATAAATTAATTAATAAATTCTCCTTTTTCAATGTACTAAACACAAATTCCGAAATTAACGAAACATTTATAAAATCGTATCAATCATTTTACATTAATATCCTGCGTAATATAATACAATATATTAATGTATAATTGTATATATATTTATATATATACAATATATATACAATATTTATATATTATATTAATTAATTATTAATAATTAATTAATCAATTGTATTATAACACAATTATATATATATAATACAATATATTTTCTGGATGAACATCACTTTTGTTTCTAACATACAATCCTGCCTCTCCACAGAAGAACAAAAGAATAACAATGATCAAAAATCGTGAAGAATTATAACAACCGAACAATATGTGAACAAGAAATGAAAGAAAACGAAACAAATTGTTTAACCGTTCACATCGATAGACCGTTCAAGAAAGCGACAGTTTTGTGTGTGTGTGTGTGTGTGTGTGTGTGTGTGTTTGTTTGTTTGTTTGTTTATGCAGAACGTGTCGTTCACAGGACATCTAACACACATACGTACACGCGCAGAGCGACACGTACACAGCTAAGAGTATTAATAATAAACGGACAGCGGATGTTATTCCGTTAATTAAAAGCTTCGGGAGTACTTGGAATTTTAATGGAGTTTCTGTTTGTTCTGGTCACGAGCAGAGAAACTCGACTGACAAAGAGGACACGGGAGAGAAGGGTGGAATGGGAAGGGAAAACGAGGGGACGAGGAGAAAAGTTTTCGTTTTCAGGCCAATTAAATTGCTGAATAAATGGATCCGCATAAACATCCGCTGGCCGGCACGATAAAAGAAGGATTAGAGGATTAGAGACCGTTCCATTCTCCAGCGATGAAAATTTTAATCAGCCTCGGCGCTGGCAAGTTTTTTGGGGGTGGTCCGCCCTTGATCACCCCCGCGATCAGCTCCACTTCCAGATTCATCCCGGCGATCCTTAAGCCCTCGGCTTCAGTGCAACATTCTCTCCCTTCTCACGAAAATATTCTGCAGTCCGCTCTCTGAGTCGACATGAAATTAAATTAACTTGGAATTAATGTTTATCCAGCTATGATTTTGTTACATTCAGTTTTGTAGAATTTTAATAGCATCAGCTTGGAACTAATGTTTATCCACCTCTGATTTTGTTACATTCACTTTTGTAGAATCGAATAGCGTCAACTTGGAATTAATGTTTGTCCATCTCTGATTTTGTTACATTCAGTTTTGTAGAATCAAATAGCGTCAACTTGGAATCAATGTTTATCCACCTCTGGCATTGTTATATTCAGATTTGTTGAATTAAATAGCATCATCTTGGAATTAATGTTTATCCATCTCTGACTTTGTTACATTCAGTTTTGTAGAATCAAATAGCGTCAACTTGGAATTAATGTTTGTCCACCTCTGACTTTATTACATTCAGTTTCGAAGAATTAAATAGCATCAACTTGGAACGAGTGCTTCAGCGTTTACTTTGATAAATGCATTCGTTGAAGAATTAAGTAGCATCAACTTGGGATTTAGTACTCTACCTTCGACTTTGTTACATTCAGTTCTCAATAGATTGAATAGCTTCAACTTGGAATCAGTGGTTATTCACGTTTGCAGTGTTGTAGTGTAAAATAATATTGGAGAATGACAGTGTAATATTGTAAATAACACTGCAGCTGATATTAGAAAATTGTAAATAACACTGTAGTTGATATTGGAAAATTGTAAATAACACTGTGAAATAATTTTATATAATAATATCGTAAAATGATATTGTAATATTATTAATCAATATTCTAAAATAATGTTGTGTGAAGTTACGGTGTAATATTACAAAATAACAGTGCGATATTGTCAAATAATATTATAAAATAACAGTTAATACTGTAAAGTGATACCATAAAATTGCAAAATCTTAGCTAAGTGTCATAAAACTAATATTTTGACACACTGAAAAATATTGAAAATGATATCATAAAATAATATTGTAATATTATTAATCACTATCCTGAAATAATGTTGTGAAGATACAGTGTAACATTATAAGAAAATATTGTAAAATAACAGTACGATATTCTAAAATAACATTGCAAAACAACAGTTAATACCGTAAAGTAATATCATAAAATAGCAAAAGCTTAGCCAAAAGTCACAAAGCTAATATTTTGGCACATTGGAAAATGTTTCCACAGATGTTAAAGAGATGTTTGCCTCTCTAGTGGTACGATTCATACTTTTTCTACTAATTCGGCGATTTTACTACTTCAGTAGGTGCATTACAAAGTTGTTGATAGCAACGTTGTGTCCAAGAAAATGTCAAACAATAAATCCGATTGATTCGTCAATTTTGAACTTCTCTTACTACGAACGAAGTTGAATCAATTCTGAGAAATTCTTGTGCTCGTTTAAATCACGTCTATAAACTCTTGCTGAGATAAGCTAATCACCTTTGTAGTAGTTGATGATTCTTCTTCGACTCTTTTCTTGTTCCTTCGCTCTTCCGATAATGTTCCCCTTCTCTTTAAATAGCAACAATAAAAACGACCTTATTTTCTCTAGATAATCTCTTTAAACATGGACCCCATGGACACAAACTATTCTATATAATTCTCTGTCTCTCTCTTTCTATATATATATCTATATAGATATACATATATATATTTCTATATATATTTATATATCGTCGCACAAGTTTCAACACCTACATATACTTTCTTAAATCTCTAATCATAATCATCGAATTCTCGTTTCTCGTTATTGATTGTATCTCCGTGCAACAACAATCAAAATATGTATCTCGTTTCTCCGACATCAGTCGTCGTCTCGATATCTGTCTCTCTCTCTCTCTCTCTCTCTCTCTCTCTTAAAACAGCAACTATCTCTTAACATTAACAATAATTAAATCGCGACGATGACAATACGATGGATAAACAACCTCTCGTTATTATCATTAACTTTCAATAATACATTTACAAAGGAATCAGAGATCTCTCGGTCGTCAAGAAATATCGGATTTCGCGAGATCCCGTCCGATTAAGTAATTAATTAGGTAACTTCGGTGAAGATTGTCCTCGCATCCGGCCCCTTTCCTTGTCTCCTCCTTCGATTTCTCTCGTTGTATCGTCGAGAATCTCTATCGTTTCTCTTCTTTTCACGAATCTAATTTCAGTTCTATTCTCCCTCGTTCTCGCCTCGCTTCGGCATCGATTCGTTACTTTGTTTGTTTGTTTGTTTGTTTGTTCGTTCGATTTTTTTAAAAATCGTTCCGCGTTTTTACTTTGTACTGAATTTTTATATTGCTGATCGACGGCGTTGGTCAAATAACGTAACACATCATCTTCGACGGTCGTTTCCGGTGAATCTTCCCGTGCGAACTAGGTTGTGCCCATTTTTATTAATATCCCGGTGAATCTGGAACAGAAATATTCGACAAGCTCGTTAGCAGAAAATTTTCGGAGCAATTTACGGAGAGCACTCACTCTCTCTCTCTCTCTCTCTCTCTTACTCGCTCGCTCTCGCTCGCTCTCTTTCTCTTTCTTTGGTCGAGAAACAGAATCGATTCTTCGCAACAATCGCTTCCGGTGCCTGCGTGATTTCGAGCTTCTAAAAATAAATGCGATGCCGCTTTGTGCACGCTCCCGATACAAATCTTGTACCAGGAGACATTAATATCCCTTAAAAATGCTGGATACTAATTTTTTTTTCAACCCATCAAAACAACTGTTTTCGAGGACTTATTTTTGTGATTTTAGTGCAATACTTAATAGTGCAACTTTATAGTGCAATATATATAATATATATAAAGGACAGCTTTGTATACATATATATATAAAAATATTATAAAATAAGAATAAGAAGAAAGCAACTAAAATAATAAGAAGAAAGAATATCATATAAAATAAAAGTGTGTATGATAAAATAAAAATACATATGATAAAATAAAAATGTGTATAGTAAATTAAAAATATGTACGATAAAATAAAAGTGTGTACGATAAAATAAAAATATGTATGCTAAAATAAAAATGTGTATAATAAAATAAAAATATGTGTGGTAAAACAAAAATGTATGCGATAAAATAAAAGTGTGTACGATAAAATAAAAGTGTGTATGATAAAATAAAAATGTGTGTGATAATATAAAAATGTGTATGACAAAATAAAAATGTGTACAATCAAATAAGAATGTGCGTCGTAAAATAAAAATGATTATGATAAAATAAAAACGTGCATCGTAAAATAAAAATTGAGCATGATAAAATAAAAACGTGCATCATAAGATAAGAGCATGTATCATAAACTAGGGTTTACCGTGAGATAAGATAGTGTGTCATAAAGGGAGCATCGGAAGGAATTCCCTGAACATTACAAAAGGGAAAGACGCGGTTTTTCTATATTTGTATAAAATTGATTTTTCCACGGTATACGGAAGAGAGCAGCGTGAATGCTTTGGCCTCTGAATAGAAATTGTAGTTGAGTGTTCGCCGTGTGTACAGTGTCAGGGCCGCTTTATTGACGTGAAATGCATTATGCAACCTTGATGCAACCCGGTTGCAGAAAATGCACTCTCCGCTCCCAGAGAACGAATTTCTCGCGATATCGATTACCTCTCAAAATTAACCCTTTGTTCTGAACAATCAGCTCTGCTCAAAGCCTCCGCCGTGCTCGCCGAAATTGCTGTGTTACAGTAGAGAGATTCCTGATCTGGCCGACGCGCGAACGCCCACGCGGAAAATTATTAAAAATATAATGTTTCCAAAGTCGCCCGACGATATTATTTCGTGGTACCTTCACATCGAGCGCAGTATACATACATTATTAGCATTCAGAGTGAAATTAGTTCTTAAATTGAAATTACTTTGGCAAATGATTTTGTACAGTGACATTATAATTGTTTCGAAATCGGATATTTTAGGAGCAACTCTTGCAAAAATGACCATTAAATGTATCAATTTAAAAATGGTAATTCTGCTGGAATAAATATGCACGAATATTTTTACAATCCTGTGAAAGGACGTTAAATATATTAATTAGTTTCTTCTGCGAATAAATAATATATTGTAAACATTCTGTAGATTTGAATAACACGAATTTATCAAAAGCACGAATGTATTAAAAAGGATGTCTATTTAAAAATCTGCACATCCAATTTGAACTTAGGATCAAAGTTCAATAAAAAATTTTTACGATTCGGTCTTTGGGACCAGTTATAATAATCTGAAACGTTAAAAGCGAAGAATGACGAACGATATAAGCGTAATGTAATGTGTAAACTAGAATTGCAAGAATATTGTTACTATTGTTATTATTATTATTATTATTATTATTATTATTATTATTATCAAGTAAAGCATTAACTTGTTTCGCAGTTATTTCATCCGAAAACCGTCGCAACGGATTTGGTTCGAAACATAATGATACGTAATCGTTTTAGTACAATAATCGTATTTCAAGATCCATTAGACTCGACAACATTTTCGCCGAATAACAATATTTATAATTACCGTGGCACGAGCCACACGATTCGGTACACCGGTAAATATAGAATATCGGGAGAGCTGTGCGAGAAATAAAGATTTCACGAGTGTGACTGGTCCGCGTTGGAAAAGGGACACGTCTGTTTGCCGGTGTAGTAGAGAGTATAAATAAAGATGGCGGATCGATCTTGTTCACTGTTTAATTGAATGTCAGCTGATGCTACTGGGACATCAACTGATTCCGCTAACAAGTTCAATCCACAACGGGGAATACATTCTCGATTTCAATAATTGGAATAATTGGATTGCTTGCGCAACGACGGCCGAGAGGAAACGATGATTGAACGATCCGGCGAATAACCGATTGTAAAACCGATTTTATCGGACGCCATTTTTCATTTAGACGCCGGCCACGGACAGCTTTTTTTCGAGAAATCGATCGAATTTATATTATCTCAGATGACGGATGCACGATATTTGTCAAGCTGATAGCGATACTAACGAAAAACAGACCTTTTTTAAGCCTTTGGCCATAATCAGAGACATTCGACAAATGATTTGTGAAACGTTGTTGGTATTTTCGGGTAATTTAGAGCGAAAGCATCCATTAAAAATTGGCGCCCGTTTATCTCCATTCTGTACATTATTTATCGTATACGTCCCGTTTTGATTTTTTATTATATACTAAAACATGTATTTATGCAGAGAATCGAATGGTGCGTTCGTTTCGAACAAGAATTGATATTCGAAATTGATTCGATTGTTTCAATCTATTATATGTATACCTATATAAATGTCTTCTGTTTTATTTATTATTATTAAATTTATCAGAATTTATTGTTATTAGTATTTATTATCTATTTCAGATCTATTTTACATAGACGGTGATTTTACGAGGCACTGATTTTTGCTAACGTGTCGCAACGTAATCAGAAATACGCAACGTCTGCCATTTTCCTCGAATATTTCAGTCGTTCTGTTTTAAACTGCACACTTGAAAGTGTTATTATAAATTTCTGCAGAGCTTTCCACAGATTTCAAACACGGAAAAGCAACGTCAAATCCTGGAAACGTTCGACGTAATGCAGCTCTGCAAGATTTTATGCACAGTAATTGTAAATATTAGATCTATGCCACTTTTTTCGAACATTTAAATTATACAGCATTAAACTAGATATTCTAAAGTATCGTGTAGAATTTTTACAGAATTTTCCACACATTCTAAATAGGCAAAACTTATGTCATATGGTGAAGATCGTAGGGAAATGTTTGACGACTCGAGGAGGAATTATATTCCATATCGAACTATAATTAAAAATACAAAGCGTCTGAGACTTTCTTCGAATATTTAAATTGTACAGTTTTAAACTACATACACGAAAGTATTATAATCAATTTTTACAGAATTTTCTACACATTCGAAGCATGAGAAAACCGTGCTGAACGCAGAGAATGTTGTTGGTCATACTGTAGACCAGCAAGACCCTATGCGATATAATTACGAATATGAAACCTGCGTCGTTTCCTGCGACCATTTCAATTATGCAAGATTAAACTGCACATTCTAAAGTGTTGTACAGAATTTTTACAGAATTTTCCACACATTCTAAATAGGCAAAACTTATGTCACATGGTGAAGTTCGTAAGGGGATGTTTGACGACTCGAGGAGGAATTACACTTCATATCGAACTATAATTAAAAATACAAAACTTTTGCAACTTTCTTCGTAATGTTTCAATTACATAGTATTAAACTACGTATTCGAAAGTGGTACAGTAAATTTTTATACAACTCTTCGGTCATCCTAAACAAGCCAAGCTTACGTAAAACCGTAAAGCTTGCGGAGTTTTACGACTAGAGGAACTTTTATATTGCAATATAATTACAATTACAAAACTTCTGTAACTTGCTTGGTATATTTCAGTTGCACAGTTTTAAACTGCATACTCGACAGTATCGCAATAAATTTTTACAGAATTCTTCAGACATCCTAAATAAACAAAATCGATGGAGCTTGCGAAGGAACGTTTTACAACTCGAGGAGGCTTTACATCGCGATAGAACTGCAAAAACAAAAGTCGTTCACCTTCGATCGAGTGCCTAAATCTGTGCAGCGTTGGACCACATTTTCGAAAGTATTCCACGGAATTTTTACAGAATTTCTCGCGGATTCCGAACACATCGGGGAAGCTACGAACAGTCAGCGGAATCGCGAAACCTGAAAAGATTCCAGCGGCACAATTTTGCCATTCTTTCGAGTGCAATCCCGTGCGAGATTGAAGTGCATCCGCGGGAGCGTGCCAACTATAAACCGAGGAGAACATAGCCTTGTCAAACGAACGTCTTTACCTTTGGCTCGCCGATAATGCCGCGAAGAAAGGCGGAAAAGCGGAGCGTACAACACTCGACGTTGAAGCAAATGGGGTGCGGATACGTCCTCTCGAGGAACACGGCGCCCGGCAATTATCGAGACTCCCGGATAAGTGTCGGTAAACAGAGTGACGAGCGTTCATCGAAACCCGGGGACCTGCTGGCCCCCCGTCGCAGTGTGCCATAGAGTGCAGTGCACTCGTTGTCAGCGGCAGCGACGCGAATGCCACCCCGTCGTTAAGGGGACATCCATTTTAACCGGATCCTCGGGAAATTTTCACGGAGACGGGGATCCATTAAAACGAAAGTGGATAAAGCGGAAACGGCGGGTTCGCCTGGAAGAACTGGACCGAACGAAGACCAAGCAGCCACGACCCCGACTGTCGAACGTGGAGGAAAAAAGAAGGAAGATCCTCGAATCGATCGTAAGCGACGATTGGCGGAAAGGTTCGTGGTGAATCCAATTATAACGGCGGCGGTTCCTTCTTGGTGCTCGGGGAGATCTACAATTTTTTCTGCCTACCCGCGAAATCATTCATTCGGTCACCCCTTTGATCGTTTTTG